GGTGCTAATATTTCTTGTCCATTGTGAATTGTGCGTATAGGTTGGCGTAACATACTCAATGACAATGAAAAAGAATTTATTCTTGCAAGCTTGTCGCAATGTAGATACTTTTACAAACTTGCATCAAAATATTCTATTTGCAGTCTTTTCAATTAAAACTGTTAATCGTTCTTCTATGAAAACTTCGATCAAGTAAACTTTGACGTTCGTTACATTAAACATTTGATTAAGTTCAGAAATATTACGAATCTATTTTATCTGGGTATGTTGTTCCATCTGCCATGTTCAATTGGTAAACTAACATTATAATGTTCTAAATTTACATAGGAATAAGCAAGTGATGGAGGGAGATCTAACAAGTATTCGGAAACCGTCCTATCTATACCGTAAATACTGTTCTCGTCTACACTGTGCTTTGGGCAATCTTTATTTCCGACCATTGTGTATTTCCGAGATTTCTGTTCCTGTCCATTTTGTTTGGCCCACATTAATTCTGTGAGTTCCCGCAAACCAAAATTCCGTTTCATGCCTAGCGTTCTCGTCCGTTATGTATGCTACAAACATTCCCGATACACATTTGTTCCCGTGAAAGTTGTTTTCTCGCGGTTTCCCGTTCCTTCTCCAAAATCCTTGTTCCGGTCCGTGTTATCTGTTTCTCATCCGTTCCGTGCGCTAATATGTTCACTACGCCATCCCTGTTCCCGTTCTTGTCTTGTGTTCCCGATCTCCTTGTCCTTGGTATTCCCGGCATCGCTGTTCCCTTCCTTTTCCCGACCCTGTGGTACCGACGCCCATGTTCCCGTTCTTCTTTTTTCCCCCGGTCTTGTATTTCCGACATCCCTGTTGTAAATGTTCCCGATCTTAATGTATCGACACCGATGTTCCCGTCCTTGTCCTATGTTCCCGGTGTTGTGTTCCCGACATCCCTGTCGTCAATGTTCCCGACATTTGTTCCTGCCGTGTCCGCCGTCTGAGTAGACAAAGTCTGACAAGTGACGGAGGAATGAGGAAGCGTGGCCAATACACATCGCAGGCTGATCACCGCTATATATCTACTTACCTGTAGCAATCAAAACAAAGTCACCGTACCGTGACAGGTCCGTTTGTTTATAAGTACAGAGACGTTCCTGGAATGCAGGTAACAAGCAAAAAGTGACGGCATATAAAATGTTATACAACGATATCTAATAAACAGCCTTGAATGACAAGGAGCTGTTTCGTTTACATTTATGATAATAAAATGCTGTATTAAAAATATCCATATTCAGTGTCATGATGTTGGTTTACATGTTATACCTTTAAAACCATTGGTAAAATAAATAAGTTACCATTTGTATTGAGTTTATGTGGTGTTGACAAGTGTTGTATATGAGGAGAGCAGGTGAAAGGTGTACCCTGACGGGAGGTGTAATGACGGCCAGTCATCTGCTGCCTTATGATGACTAACGTCCATTAACACAGCCTAAATAGGGCCAGTTATTATTCGTCCCCACATTATCATCGGAATGGTGTCGTTACACCTATCATCTGCCTCCTCGTCAGCCCATGATGTCTGTCCTGACGACGTTTGGCAGATCGGACACGCACAACGTGTACAGTCTGCCTGCCGTACACTGAACAATTAGCACTAATCTCATCAACAATGACCGTCAGTCCGAACTGACCGATTACGACGTGATCACCAATTAGCTTACGTCACGTGCAGTAACGTGTACCCCCTGGCGGCGGTAATAGATATAAACGTTAAGGGGATATGCGCTCAGCTGTTGACATGTCATACATAACAAAACTGGACAAGGCAATCATATCTTATATGATGTCGAGATGTGTGTTCCTCAACTACATCAAATTATATTAGATTTAAAGGTGAAAAATTGAGATAAATTGATGTGATTTTGATTGATAGATGTGGCAACGAAATTGACGTGTTTGTGCTCTGGTTCTTCTGCACGTTCTTGTTGTGGTATTTGTGAGCTGCAACATTCCCGTGCCGTTTGTTGTGCCCTGTAAAATGTTCTTGCTTAAGTATTTGTAAACTGTAATGTTCCAATGCTGTTTATTGTGATCTGCAACGTTCTTTATGCCCTGTTTAAAACGTTCTTGTGTGGGGTTTTTTTGTGTTGCGTTTAAACGCGTTTGTTCTCTAATTATCAATTGTGTATGGGGGGGGGGGGGGGGGGGGGGGGGGGCGAATATGTTGTTGTAGGAACATAAGAAAGTTTTATTGACCAAGATGAAAGAGAAAAGCTAACATTTAGCTGTAATCATAAGTTACCACTGAAATAACGTCATAAAGAAACCTTTAACATTAACTTGGCCCCGGTTGGTTAAAGTTAACCATACTTTAACCAGTGGTTAATGCAAGTTTAGTTGTCGCCACTAAAAATAAAAGGCTTTCAAAGCAAACTAAACCCTCAAAAGCATCAATCTGACCTGTCGCATCACATCCGTAGCAGTGTCACACATCCGCAGCAGTGTCATACATCCATAGCAATGTCACACATCCGTAGCAGTGTCACCCATCCAGTCACCCATCCGTAGCAGTGTCACACATCCGTAGCAATGTCACACATCCGTAGCAGTGTCACACATCCGTAGCAGTGTCACCCATCCAGTCACCCATCCGTAGCAGTGTCACCCATCCGTAGCAGTGTCACACATCGGTAGCAGTGTCACACATCCATAGCAGTGTCACACATCCATAGCAGTGTCACGCTTCCATAGCAGTGTCACACTTCCTTAGCAGTGTCACACATCCGTAGCAGTGTCACACATCCGTAGCAGTGTCATACATCCATAGTAGTGTCACACTTCCATAGCAGTGTCACACATCCGTAGCAGTGTCACACAGCCATAGCAGTGTCACACTTCCATAGCAGTGTCACAAATCCGTAGCAGTGTCACACTTCCGTAGCAGTGTCACACATCGGTAGCAGTGTCACACATCCATAGCAGTGTCACACTTCCATAGCAGTGTCACACATCCGTAGCAGTGTCACACATCCGTAGCAGTGCCACACATCCGTAGCAGTGTCACACATCCATAGCAGTGTCACACTTCCATAGCAGTGTCACACATCCGTAGCAGTTTCACACATCCATAGCAGTGTCACACATCCGTAGCAGTGTCACACATCCGTAGCAGTGTCACACATCCGTAGCAGTGTCACACATCCATAGCAGTGTCACACTTCCATAGCAGTGTCACACATCCCACATTCATAGCAGTGTCATGATATAATTGTTAATAAATTTATCATATTTGAAATCCTTTACCACTGGTGAACTCTAACCAATCTCTGTACAACAGGGACCAGGCATTTCTACAAACGTAACGCTGTGTCAATATCACAAATCATTAACCTCCACGTGATTAGGATCCAGCCAATGTAGATATGAGAACATGTAGATATGAGAACATGTAGATATGCAATAGAACCCTGATGCAGTACTAAAACCTTAATAATAATTATAACGTTTTCTCAATATTATTCTGCACATTAAAAAAAAACAATTTAAAAGTATGAAACCATACCGTTATACCTTCCACGCGGTCACATGTTATCCTGCTCGGAAATCACTATATTTTATTTATAATCTTTTTAATATGTAGCCCATCTTTCAGTTAGCCGAGATGGTCACATTTAAATCGTATACATACTTTTGGATAAAGCTGAATACATAATCATTTTAAAATCATATCTTGAATCTGCTCGGCAACATTCCTATCCTACACTTGGATGGCCATAGGTAAAGCCGCGTGGCTGTGTCTGAAACATTCTATCAAATCTTGATACGCAAGATGTTAAATAAACTGAACAGTGATTGGTTGATTGAGTGACTGGATGGCTGTAAGATCCAATCTGAGGCAGTATGTTAGAGACATTAAGGCTCGGCCAGGTATATAGATCTGATACAGGTAAGTGTAATTTATCACTGTTGGTGGCCGAAATTTGTGATGAGCGTATCTCAAATAAATACACTGTCATCACCACTAATAAGTTATATATATAAAATGTACATGACACATGATCACATGAGTACTTTCATTTTTGTTTCCAAGAAATATATTTTTATGTATTTTCCTGTTTGCATTCAGAATATATTAGATACATGTATAAAACTTATTTTCCGTAAGGCCTTCATACAACACACACACATTTCAAACAGTTAAACAATGGAATCAAACAAAACTTAAAACAAGTTTAAGTGAGCCGATATAACAATACTATCGGCATGAAGTTCAGTTTTCAAAAAACGGGATGGTTTTCTGTCATCGAGGAAATTTGGAGGATATGAAAATAAATAATCAAATAAATGACTGAAAAAATCCTGGTTCAAAACAACACAAACGTTACAACTACCTCATGCCGGGAATGTATATTGTGTGTTCTCGGAGAGGACATGGTTAAGAGTGTTGTAAGAGAGAACCAAGGTTTCCACTGGTCGGCATTGATTAATCAGTAGTGTGTTTTGTGTTATTCGATACAGAGGAATACGGAAAGTATAATAATTAGGCGATATCACTGTCGATTGACGCCATAGGTTTTAGCTGTACAAGAGCCATGCTATTTTCTTGTGTGGATACGTAACACTATTCAACATTGATGTGATCAGAGACACATACAAACTATATTACGTTTCTGAGTGTGATTGATGTGCATGTACCGCAATTGCTAAACGCAAAATAAACGACGTCTATTTGTAATTGACGTAAATGTACTGCAAAACTTAGCGTAACAAGGGTACGTATGTATGTAGGTCGCTTACAGAAAGTAGAGCTTCAAAGCGAAAATCGTCGGGAACGCATTTTTAAATACATCTAGGAAAAGAAATATTGAAAAATCACAGTCATTGCGTTTTTGTGAATGTATATCGTCCGGTCTTCCCCGACAAAAACCTGTTGACCTCAAACGGTAGAGTGGGTCGACCGTAGAGGGTACACGTGGTCAAATCTGGTCAGTGACTCTATCTCCAGACGCATCGTTGCACCTCCTGCCATGCCCACTGGTCAAACTGCGAACACTGTCCAGATTGCCTGTGACTTTGCTGACGACTAGTAACATATCACGACGCTAATTGACCAACACGATGAAATAAATAAACTTAAAATTAATTTATTCCTATTAAAACAATCCATTTGTCACCCGGAATGATAATTCCCCATATCATCCACTGTGGTCAATTCCTGTGTAGATAAGGGGTCAGTTTGGCCACATATTTGACCTCCTCATTTGACCTTGCACGAGTAAGGAAGTGACCCCAGGAGCCGGCATGTCAGACGTCAGTTTCAGCGTCCGGACCGAAATGTCAATTTCACCTCCTCACGTTCGTGCTGATTATTTAGATTTAATAAATGTACCCATCATTATAATTTAACTCATTGAGATGATGACAAATTCACGGACTGCTGATATGACATTTCTTTTAATAAAAGACGTATACTTTTCGTCTGCTTTCGATGACAGCGCATCCTCATACTGCGAGTTTGTACGTCATTAAAATCGTACTTGAATACCCCAATGTTAAGTGAACCAGGGGAGGTAACTCGAATTGAAAAAAATGCTATTGTATGAGTCATTGAACGACAACGGAATTCCATTTATTTAATATTGTATATATTATGTATTTTTATACGGAACAGTTATATATCAATCTAAAAATGTATCAGTTATACATTTTGTTTTCAATCAAAATACTCAGAGCCTAAGGGATTGTTTGGAATAAAATAGCTGCCCATAAATTTACACCAGCCTATACTGACCCAAAGCAGGTCAACTGAATACAATACGTTACAACTGATGATATAACAGCTGATAACAGTACGTATTACAGCGAAATAACAGCTGATGACGGTACTTATTACATCGAAATAACAGCTGATGATGGTACGTATTACAGCGAGATAACAGCTGATGACGGTACGTATTACAGCGAAATAACAGCTGATGACGGTACGTATTACAGCGAAATAACAGCTGATGACGGTACGTATTACAGCGAAATAACAGCTGATGACGGTACGTATTACAGCGAAATAACAGCTGATGACGGTACGTATTACAGCGAAATAACAGCTGATGACGGTACGTATTACAGCGAAATAACAGCTGATGACGGTACGTATTACAGCGAAATAACAGCTGATGACGGTACGTATTACAGCGAAATAACAGCTGATGACGGTACGTATTACAGCGAAATAACAGCTGATGACGGTACGTATTACAGCGAAATAACAGCTGATGACGGTACGTATTACAGCGAAATAACAGCTGATGACGGTACGTATTACAGCGAAATAACAGCTGATGACGGTACGTATTACAGCGAAATAACAGCTGATGACGGTACGTTAAACAGCGAGATAACAGCTGATGACGGTACGTATTACAGCAAAATAACAGCCGATGACGGTACGTATTACAGCGAAATAACAGCTGATGACGGTACGTTAAACAGCGAGATAACAGCTGATGACGGTACGTATTACAGCGAGATAACAGCTGATGACGGTACATATTACACCAAGATAACAGCTGATGACGGTACGTATTAAAGCGAGATAACAGCTGATGACGGTACGTATTAAAGCGAGATAACAGCTGATGACGGTACGTATTACATCGAGATTACAGCTGATGACGGTACGTATTACAGCGAGATAACAGCTGATGACGGTACATATTACACCAAGATAACAGCTGATGACGGTACGTATTATAGCGAGATAACAGCTGATGACGGTACGTATTACTGCGAGATAACAGCTGATGACGGTACGTATTACATCGATATAACAGCAGACGATGGTACGTTTAACAGCGAGATAACAGCTGATGACCGTACGTATTACAGCGAGATAACAGCTGATGACGGTATGTATTACAGCGATATAACAGCTGATGACGGTACATATTTCAGCGAGATAACGGCTGATGACGGTACGTATTACAGCGAAATAACAGCTGATGACGGTACGGATTACAGCGAGATAACAGCTGATGACGGTACGTACTACAGCGAAATAACAGCTGATGACGGTACGGATTACAGCGAGATAACAGCTGATGACGGTACATATTTCAGCGAGATAACGGCTGATGACGGTACGTATTACAGCGAGATAGCAGCTGATGACGGTACGTATTACAGCGAAATAGCAGCTGATGACGGTACGTATTACAGCGAGATGACAGCTGATGACGGTACGTATTACAGCGAGATAGCAGCTGATGACGGTACGTATTACAGCGAGATGACAGCTGATGGCGGTACGTATTACAGCGAGATAACAGCTGATGACGATACGTATTACAGCGATATAACAGCTGATGACGGTACATATTTCAGCGAGATAACAGCTGATGACGGTACGTATTGCACCGAGATAACAGCTGATGACGGTACGTATTACATCGATATAGCAGCCGACGATGGTACGTTTAACAGCGAGATAACAGCTGATGACCGTACGTATTACAACGAGATAACAGCTGATGACAGTACATATTACAGCGAGTAGACAGCTGATTACAGTACGTATTACAGCGAGATGACAGCTGATTACAGTACGTATTACAGCGAGATGACAGCTGATGACGGTACGTATTACATAGAGATAACAGCTGATGACGGCACGTATTACAGCGAGATAACAACTGATGACGGTACGTATTACATCGAGATAACAGCTGGTTACGGTACGTATTACAGCGAAATAACAGCTGATGACGGTACCTATTACAGCGAGATAACAGCTGATGACGGCACGTATTACAGCGAGATAACAGCTGATGACGGTACGTATTACAGCGATATAACAGCTGATGACAGTACATATTACAGCGAGATGACAGCTGATTACAGTACGTGTTACAGCGAGAAGTAAATGATTTTTGTAACCTCGTATACATGGTTGAGTAATCCTCACTTGTGTGTCATTTATATTTGATCTAGGACTTAAAATTGAACACTGGTCCAAGGTCTCTGTCAAAAGAATTCTGTTGACATAGCAACTGAATGATGTCAATTTCAAGTAAATTCCTCAAGTGCCACGTCGACAAAAATAGCTTTACACAAAAGGTGAAACCAGTCTTTATTGATGTTTATAAATATTTTGTCTATGACAGTTCATTGATATTTTATCAATTGGCTTTCAATGTATTTTATGCTATTTTCGCTATTTTCGTTGTAGTAAATGAAACGGTTGTGTTGAGGTGTGGGGCGATGACGGCTTTGCAGTGAACGTAGATGACCCCTTTCCCTCGCCGACCTCCTCAAATAATTGCTTGCTCTGAAATCTGATAACAGATCAAGCCTCCGTTTTGATTCCACTTACTCCTTTAATCGTAAATAAATACCACATTTTTGTATAAGCATCGAAGATTTATTTACAGACAGTTTAGCCAAGAATCGTAGACAAATACGTTTAAACGTGTAAAATACATTCAGCTGACGCATTCTCTAAAACTGTTTGCTCAAGGGAAGTAAACAGGCTACACGTACCCGGACGATTTTGGACAATGTATCCTTCTAAGGACCTATTGTCAGGATTATAGAGGTCAAGAATGAAGATAAGGCTATCCGTCCCCGAGATTATTCGGTAGGATGACCGCTTTGACAAATGGGTACGTCAACCCTTTATCCTCGCTATACAAATTTGCTTATCGGGCACAAATGCCGTCCTCCTACACCAACCCTTTCCCTCTCGTCCTTGGATCTCTCCATGGTTCTGCGGTCAACCGAAATTTCTACCCAGTCACAGTCCAGGACACATCCCCGAGTCAGTAATGGGTTTATACTACAACGTGAAATGTGAAGAGTATAATCTATTCTCCTTTTGTCATCAATGGTGAAACATGTCCCTAGTCAATACATTAAATGATATCAATGCCTCCAACTTATATTTCCGGAATGTTTTCCTCGGGCGGAAGTTGAGACTTGATTGTTTTCTACAAGCTAGATAGACTACAGGCTCAAACGAAACACGTGGCTGATAGATAGAAGAAGTGTTTTATTCGGCTAGAAATTGGTTCGCAAAGAAAACCTAGAATGAAGCTGAAAAAAAAAGACTGATCATGTTTCGTTTGTAACCATTAACGTCAGTGAGCATTGTCGTCAAAGTCAAACCGAGAGTTAATTAAGGTTGTACCGTAAGGAAATCACTCCTGCAGGTCGAGGATCGAGAAAAGAATACACCTGCTGTTAGCCATTGCCTGTATTGTAAGAGGCGACTAATGCGGGAACCTCTGCAGAATTTGTTATTTGTTTTTATGCCATATACTTCGGGACACAAAAATGACCAAAATCAATCTGCTGCACTCATTGCAATATTTGAAATCGTTTTACTTCCTTGCGACTTGCTTTGCAAAACCTCACTTTTGGATTTAATGTTGAATGTTCGCAGAGGTGAGGAAGGCGATGGGTTCTGACCCCAAACCCGGACAAACCAAAGTCCTTAAAAAATAGTTGTTATTTCCTGCTCTTCACGTTTAGCGTTTAGGGTAAAGAAACAGCTGGTTCACCCGTTGTCAGTATAATGTGACTAGGCGGAATGCTGTGTGCCTGTCGGCATGTTTTTCAGTTAGATAGCACTAAAAAGTCGGCATCAGATCCGCGCTAACACAAGAAGGTTAATACACCAACATACCCTGTCTCCGGCTCACATACACAACACACATGGACGCACATTCTTAGTGGCCTTGGCTGTTGATATGACGTTAAACCCCGTACAACCAATCAAACGTTAGTAAATCATGGTTGTGAAATAGGTTAAGTGGAAGTAAGTTACCAAACTGTTTGTTGTCATTCGAGAATAAAGTTGAAAAGGCTAGAACATCCGCAAAAAACAATTCTCACCAACTTATACATTTGCTGGTATTTTTATGTTTTTTTTCTTTTATCTAAAGATGACGTTTCTATGTGGTAGAACAATTAGCTTGCTGTCCGTTGGAGATAAAAAGTTGTTCGTGGACTACGACAAGGGGCGAGTGTATTGTCCCAGTAATTAACCAGATCAAAGAGCGCGTCCTGGCCGTCACAGGGCTCAGATAGGCCTCACACGGAACAGATTAGTCCCTGCCTTGTGTCTGTTTCCGGATCGTATCCACACACCATTACCGTCACTAACCTATAAAATTGTTAGCCAAATGTGGGGAAAAAAAATGGATGATTAAGTGTTTGACAACCATAAGTTATCAACATCATTACTCGGACTTGTTGAGAAATGTTCTTTAGATTATATAGGTCACTAAAGGTCACGGATGAGAGACTAGACATAGTGATATCGGATACTTATTGAATCGTTTCTTCTTTGGACATGTTTTAGTAAAACTTCTATGAAGAGGAATTCTCAAACGTAATAACTCGAAAAGAAGTTTCTGCAATCCTTTAACATAGTTCGATTATATTTATACCTTATTCAAGAAAAATAATTCAGCTGTTTCATTTCGGGTAATCGTATGAGGCGACTAACGTGCTACGCTATAATGTCGCCTGCCCTCTATTGATGCTTTTACGAAAAGCAATCTTCACGAAAGGGCTAGTTGCGGTACAATTTTAATGTAGAGTTCTTTTACACAGATATTCGTCTAGCTTAAATCAACACATTCGTGATTTACAAAACATTCCATTACTAATATTTGTCGCCCTAACATCGAGTACATATCGACGGAATTGTCTACATTTTTACAGCCACGAAACAGGTTCATTATCGGGTTATTTGCACTATTAAACCACGTTAAATAAACCGAGATCGTGTGCCGAAATACCAGCCTCATTTGTAGCGGTGCAGACATTTTCGCCGGAGGGTCTTTACGAACGTATACTCAACATTTTCCTTAAATTGCCATGTTCATTGAGAGTGATGAAGCCTCAGCCATCATCGGTACACACGAACCCCACATTTCTGTCATATCACCTATACAAGAATTTCCCATTGAAAGACGTGGAACTTGACGCCTAGAAGATCAAAGTGTTCAAGGTGTTGGCCGATCGAATACAACAATGGTGGGCTGAAGCGATCTCCTTGTAGTATGCCTGCTCCCGGTCGCGGGTCCATATACATGTATGTATCTCCGATGTCGACCGCCCTAGGGGCAGCTCCCTAGATAGTGAACGTAAGAAATCTAGGGACCGGTATTATAGGAATACATTTTAGACATTTTAGAGTGGAATATTTTCGGACGTTGACAACAGAGGGCGCTGGTGTAGCCCCCAATTTGACAATATAAAACATGATACATTGATTGATGCTGAGGGGTACAAGTCAATAATTGACCTATGGTACAAACGACACGTGTTCTTGTCAGAGCCCGATGGCTAGGTGGTCGTTCGATGATCTTCGGGAGGGAGAGAAGGTCGCAGGTCCAGACGGGGTCATGTCTGACGCTCTCCCCAAAGGACTAGGTCACCCCAGTATTGTCAGACAGGGGCAACAACTCTTACCTGGCGTATCATTTCTTTTATCTTCCATTTTACCTTGTTACGCATACGTCCTGTTCCATAGAAAAGAAATCATATGTCCTTTACTATGTCACAGGGAACAAGGGATTGCTATATGGCGGGTCAACAAGTCCAGATTGACTGTAATGCTGAAAACCTTTTTCCTGTAAAAAAAAGAAGTCCATTCTGCCATCAATATCGACATGAATACATACATGTTTAAAGAAAGTTGCTAGGTAACTGTCATTACCTCGAGAAGTATTGAATGGCGATTTCTGTTTGTGATGTAATTCAAGGACAATATTAGCTAATGTGAAAGATGCTATGTCAGTAACTGAATTAACATTTCATTGGATGATGCTGACCGATAATGCTTGAATTTCATTAAGTCGGTGATTTAACTCCAGCTCGTGATCAAAAGCTTTTAAAAAGTTTATCTCTTATGAAATGAAAACGATGCTGAGGTCACATAATAAGTGACCATCATCATTTATCGTTTATTATTTTCACACGCACCTGTGTTTCAGTAATTGTCAGTATGTTTTTACCGATATTCAGAGTATTACATCGAAATCAAAAATATCGGATTTTGTATTTGTCGTTTAGTAAGTACATACAACTTTTCCATGATAAGAACAGCAACCCCCAAAAATGCTAATCAGCATAAATTTTGAGTGAGTATATATTTCGTGGAAAACAGAAAGTATTGTAATCCGGTTATGAGGAAAAGCTACAATAGTCCTCGCAGCTTCCTCAGTGACCTTCGTTCTAAAAATACACGGCGTGTTTAGAAAGAATATGAAAAAACACCTGGGTTAACTATAGTCTAAAGCGTTAATTGGTTGTATGAATTCATTTGTACGACCATGGTGTGGTTTTATTTAGGAGAGACAGTATGTCGACCACCACACAGTGAAATGTTTCTCCTCTGTCAAAGAGTTTCGCAGAATATGAATCCTGTAAAAGATTTTCTATAAATGGTACTTGGAACTTCATTAGAAAAATAACGTGAAATACACGTTTATGTTTGTGTTTTTTTTAAATAATTTTGATTTGGTATTCTATGTCAATATATTCTATTTATTTTTAGAATCAAAGGGTGTTTGGCCGTGCGATAATAAATAGATAGAACTATTTACTGCATTAGCCCTTAAACTAGTAGAAGTACGCTTACGTAAATAAGAAACAATTGTGTCAAAAACGAAATAAAACACAAGCCGGCCATTTTATATGTAAGATACTATTACTTTACGTTCACCTTTACGAAACAGCTCGCTATGCACTCCATATGTGAGTATATCATGATTATATCTTTGGATATGTGATTTTGAAATGTCGTTTGCTGTTCTAGTTGGTTTTCCAAGAATTCAGCAAAACCCTTCAGACAGTTCCGGTTAAGCTATATCTCTCTCATTCTAACTTCCTTAACGTCATCAAACATCACAA